ATCCGACCACGCCACGCTCACGCCTCGCCGACTACCAGGTAAGTGCTAAGTTACAGTTTATATATATATTTAAACGAATGCTTAAGTCTATGCTCAGTAGAGGGTACCAGACATATGACCCTAGAAACCAGTGAGATGCTCGAGTCAATGATAAAGTTTTCTCAGAACATAGTCGATCATCCCAGTCATATGATAGTTCGACTCTAGTTTCTCGGGTTAATTTTAGCAACTCGTCAAGAAATTTGTGTACTTTATTGATTAGTTTCAATAAAGTCATCAGTAAGGATGTTCGGGTCAGAATTCAGAACTCTAGAAAGGGGCTAGGATTGAGAACCCTAGATTCCATTCTAGACTTATTCAGATTAAGTTAGTGCCTCTTTCAGTGATTTGTAAACAATTATGTTATACAAATCTTAGCAATCATGTTCCTCAGAAATTTTCTATCGAAAATAGCCAGTTTTGCCGATTAGTTGGCACATCCCAAGAAAGAATTCCTTGAGTAAGATCAGGGAATAAGTTCAATTTTCCTAAGTCAAGTCAGTAAAACAATTTCAAGGCAAGATTTTTCATGCTAAAGGTTGTTAAAATTTTCAAGTCATTGTCAAGGTAACGGTTTCCAGTGTATACGAGTCAGTAAGTCCGGGTTACCATGGAGGCTTGAAATAAGAGCCATTAAGTCGGGTATACCATGGAGGCTTGAAGCTGAGACTGGAACAGTACAGTTCAGAAAGTAACAACCTTTAGAGTCAGCTAATTCGGGTATCTTACCAGTTAGATATTCTGAGTTAGTTGGCAAAGTTCAAGATCAGTTAATCATTCAGTACTTGCGGGACCAGTTGATACTGGAGCAGCCCTATATAGTACCTAATCATAAGTTAATGTTCATGATTTAAAGATAATATTCAGGTGTTAAGGCCGACGTATAATAGTTGTTCAGCCGGGTTAAAATGGAGGTCTGTATTACAGACTATTAGTCCAGTTTTACCTGGAAACTTGAAGTCGCACCTTATCAAGTCAAGTAAGTTAATAAATGTTATGTTACAAATTCCGAGGTGACCATTTAGTTGTCCCGGGATACCTTTTAAAGTTCAGGTAAGGAATGATCCAGTCATGTAAAAGTCAAGTCCTGGATATTCAGTTATGTGAATGCTCAGGCCAGCTATGTTAAGTCAAGGACAGTCTGTCTAATAAGACAAGACAGTATGTCCAGTACCTCGATTCTCAAATACAGATAATTTGAGAACTCGTGGGAAATATCAGTTTATGAGAAACTTTTCTTGAGGTTATGTTTGACCTCAGGGAAGGTAAACAGTTGCAGGTACAACCTGTCGAAATACGACACGGCGGAGAAGGTTAATCAACAGCAACAGATCATGCCATGATGACAACCGAGCTTTCCATTCAAGTACGCATGACACTAGAAGAGAAGGATGCCATACAATGTTGAGTCATGGTACACTGGGAAGTCACAGAGAGTTAGCATTATAGTACATTGAGGTTACTAGCCGAGATACAGATATGATCAGCCATACAGACTACGTCGACATCGCAGGTTCAATATTCACCAGGTGCTGTATGCAGGTGTGCCGCACTCACTAGATGAGGAGCAGGTATGCCTCATTACAATGTGTCGCGAACGATGTGCCGCGTGTCGAGTAGATATTCACGAAAGGAAGTTGCCAGGATTGCTAGTTACCCTCATTTGTACATGTGCATATCTCTGAAATTTTCCAGGGGTACTAACGACTAGGAGTTTCCACAACCAACATTCAGACCGAAGATCAACAATCAGCCAGGAGATGAAGACCAATATGCTGAAGAATTATAATTTTAATTTCAAGTATAATAAATGGAACACTTTATCTTATAAAAGTGTCCCGTTTCAGCCAGTGTTTATCATCAACTCACTTAATTGCGAATTGTTGATTTCTCAGTTAAAATCAAGTCTAATGTTCAGTATTTAATACTGAATCCTCAAGTCATGTCAACGATAAGTATAAGCTTCGAGTTAAGCTTGTACATTCAGTTTAGTATTTCCGAGGACGGAAATATTTTAAGGAGGGTGGATTGTAACACCCCAAGTTTTATTAATAAAGGAAAACACATACTAGCTTTTAATGTTAAGCTAGCCTTTGTTAATAAATAACCATATTCATGTTTAAGTCCAAGTAATTCAGTCAGTTAAATTTCAAGTTCGACTATTAGTCGATGAGTTTTCAGATTTAATTCCGATTCATTTAATAAGTTAATGAGTTCGGAATTAATAAGCTGAGTTGACGAACTATTCGAAATATTAATATTCGGATTAATCGTCTAAGTTAAGAATGTTCGAATTAATTAAGTAATGGTCATTAAACCTTGCTAAAATTAACTTAATCATGTTTAAGCTAATTAATCACGATTAGCTTAAAGATAATCATGATTAGCTTAATGTTAATGATGATTAATTAACGTTAATGAGGATTAGTTTAAGGTTAATCATGTTTAGGGATAATCATGTTTAACTGAACATTGAGTATGCTTAGTAAGGCCGTTAGTGCGCATAAGCACGTCCTTAGCATGCCTTAAGTCGCGCTTAGCACACTAATCGTCGAGAGTTCCAAAGCTCCCCAATCTTCACGTTCATCATCATCCATTCATGGACACTTGGTGAACTAAGGTGAGTTCGGGGGATGACTAAGCGTTCGGAAGGATGACTAAGCACCCCAAGTGCCACTCTCGCACCCTTAGCGCACGACAAGTGGCGAGAGGCCATTGGCCGAGCTTTCCACCCCAATCTCATCACGTTTTCCTTTAGTATAAATCAGAATTTAGGGGAGGAAATTCAGTTTATGTATAAACTATACACTTAACTCATCTTAAGTAAGATAAACACACACGCACGCGCATAGGCTCGGAGTCGAGAAAATCATGCATAACTTGTGAATTCTCCGAACACTTGAGGAGGTAACCTTATATCCAGCATCCTTTTATGTTATTTAGGTCATGTTAAAATCAGTTTAGTGAGTTCATGTCGAGAAATGCAAGAAAATGTCATAAAAGGGTCGGTTTTGGCCTTGTAGGTCATGACCGAGTGATGTTCAATTTTACCCGGCAACTCCTGTGCAATTCATGTTTATTTTATCATGTTATGTCCTTATAGGTTCAGTATTAAAAGATAGGTCGAGATATGTTAAAGTTTGGTCCATGATTTGGCCTATGGAAGTCGGCAGCGCACGTAGCGCATGCCCACGGGGCTAGTTTATGCCCTATCATGTTATCTTTAAGTATAATCATGTTTGTTCGAGTAAGTCAGGTATGGTTGATCATTATATGTTATTTTATGTTCAGTCAAGCCTTGATGGTCGAGGCAAAATGATGTTTGGCCGAGGATTGGCCTTAAGCCGATGGTAGCGCCCGTAGCGCACACCACGGCACTTTATCGAACAAAGTATATGATTCTTGAGTAAGTTCAGTACATATGATCATGTCATGTTATATCATGTTAGTTCATGTTGAAGTTGCCGGAAGAAGTCGCCAAACGGCCAGCAAGGGCCGGTCGTGGCCACGCTGCCCCACGCAGCGACAGCAGCGGGCTGGCAGCACCCCAGCACC